TATCTATATTATATCAAACATTTTATTAATTATATTTGAAGAAAAGAGATTCTCTGGTATTATTTACTGTCGCCTCTTACGACACCCATGGGATAAAAGTTAAGGATTTGATTTTCGCCACAATACGCCAGTCTAAAGTTAGCAAATATTAATAAATTTACTTGAGAAGCCCATATCATGAGATATCGTGCAAAGAGATCGAGCAAATAATCCCCACCCTCATTTATCACACTGAAAACCTTAAAAAGATCATACACCAAATAAAGAAGTGAACAAAGAATCAGATTTCAAAATAATAGGTGTAATTACGATCCTGGCCGCGATTACACGAGAATAATTACACACGAGCATGTAAGAGTAAATTTGACGCTCGTTACGTAACGCATTGTCTCCTTCCAGTAGCAATTTGTCGTTTTATGTCTCTGGGGTAAAGGGACCTCGTAAATACTTGTGTCAGTGCGAGAAAGCTCTTGCCGCTTCTGTTTCCATTCACCGCTCGCCCATAAAAAGGTCGTGATTTATTTTGATATGTTATTTAGGAAAAAGTTACGATGGCACGTGTGTAAGTATCGTCTTAATTTAAACATAATGGAAATGTATTTTGAGATTTTTACATTTATTTGCCCCGTGTAGTGGCGGGTAAGAATTCCTACTACCCCATATCGTTCCATGGGTGTCGTAAGAGACGGCAGAGGAAAACTGAGGCAGAAGATGGGCAGCAGCATCTTTCTGATAACAGTAATACAACAAAAAAAACTGCGGTTGCGGTTGTCCAACGGATTAGTAAGCTGAATTGGCAATGGGCCGGCCATATAGCTCAAAGAACCGACAACCGATGGAGAAAAAAGGTTCTCAAGTGGCGGCCTCGTACCGGCAGACGAAGTGTAGGGCGTCCTCCCACTAGAAGGAGTGACGACATGGTAAGACATGCAGGAAGTCGATGGATGCAGGTGGCTCAGGACCGTGCTTCGTGGCATTCCTTGTGGGAGGCCTATGTTCAGCAGTGGACATGTGATAGGCTGTAATGATGATGATGAGGACGTTTACTTAAATATTCAATATTGTATAATTGAAATTTTATTTATTAAGAATTGAATTAACCTAATATTTTTCACATAACACGTTTCTATATTAAAGGAATAAAATGACAAAACATTATTTATTTATTTTTTATTGTGCACCGAAATACAGAATTCGAATAGAGTGCAATTTAAAGTATATGAACAACAAGCGATATTACCACTCTGAAAGTGATCTCTTCCAGACAACTTTTGCGTTTAGTTGTATCACGGAGTAAGTAAATTATTTTTATAGGTACGTTGTATGATGTTATGATAAAAAGATTGCATCGTGTTTAATTTTAATATTTAATATATTCCCGATGTTTTAAGTTCTTTGACCCATGGTCAATCTCCCTCCCAGGTATTCATAATATTATGTAGAAATAAATTAAGCACTAAATAAGTTTGTGAAAATATGTAAATATTAGTTTCATTTAATGTATCATTCTTAGTTTATGTTTTTGAAACTTATATTTTTTGCAGGAGAGGGGGCAAACGATGACATGCGGCTCACCTGACGGTAAGTGACTAACGCGCCGTTTATGAACATCTGCAACACCAAGGGAATGGCAGGTGCGTTGACCGGCCTTTTAAAAAGGAGTAAAGTTGTTTCTTGAAGATAACTAAGTCGTATCAATCCGGAAAATTTACCGGTGGTAAAATATTCCACAAAGAAGTCATGCAAAGGAAGAAAACTTCTGGTAAATCACACAAGGGTGAACTACCAAGCATCCAGATGGTTTGGATGGTGTCGTGAATTCTGACGCGATATGCGATGGTGGAATTTGGCAGCTGGAATTAATCTGAACAATTCCTCATAGCACTCCTCGTGTTGAATATTATAGAAAATGCAAAAGGATGCAATATCTATTCACAATCCCAGTGAATAGAGCCGATCAGAAAGAAGTCGGTCAGCGATGATACCGGCCGCTCTGCACTGGATGCAGTCCAGTGGAAGGAACTGGCACTGGGGTTTCTAGTCCAGAGATTAGAACAGTATTCCGTGTTAGGCCCAATTTGCACCTTGTGAGTGACATAAAATACTGCCTCACTCTATTAAGGACGACAAGCTTTTTAGAGGCCAATTTAGTCTTCCATTCAAAGTGAACTTAATGTTACTCTGACTCTGGCTGAGGCAGTAAGCAGTGTGCCCTGAAATTGAGGAAATACGACAAGGAGGTTCTTTTTATCGATAAACGCGCAAACCTGTGTCTACCAAGGCACCAGATTTAGGCCGCCCGATTTGAGACTTTGTTTAAAAAAGGCTCGACTCCAGACCTAAGTTTCCGGCACTCGATGACGTGTATTCAATAAATATTGGCGCTTATTGTTATTTAAGCAGAAAGTATTTCCAAGATTGTTTTTTTTTAGATATATCATATATATATATATATATTATTTTTGTAAATAATGTTTCATAAAATTACAAGTGCGCATTTTTAAGCATTTGCTTTAAAAATACGAAATATAACACGAATCATAATTTCTTAACAAAGACTACATAATAAAAAGAATTGTTAGGTTGATATCGTTGCGGGACATGAGAGGCTGTACCATAAGGAGGTCATTAAATCACAAGCAGGCGCTTTAGACTGCAGGTAGCACTGCGCTATAATATTTATGTTATTATTTGTGTCTTATTGTTGATATTTTATAAACCTTTGATATAAAATATTCTAATGTTTGGTTTATTAGGTACATTATATTTATTTTATTTATTAAACCTCATACAACATAATATATGATTTATAGGCGGATTTGAATCTGAAGTAGAAGTTAAATACGAAACAGAGGTGTAAGATGTTAAAAGATAGAAACATAAATTAAATTAAAAAAATATCACATATACACACATAAAATTTGAATATCAAAAATTTATAACTAAATGCATAATATTATTTTAATTAAATTATGCACATATAAGAATAAACAAATTACATAAATTAAATATTTATATAAATACAAATGAGCTACCAATGAAATGATTCTGACAATTTATTAAAATTATATTTGCGTACTTTCTTCTAGAATGTATAACGATTGCTAGCCGTAATTTCAAGAGGGTGGGCGTTACGAGAAAAATGGACTGTATAGTGAAGAATAAATACAGAAAGCCAGATCCATGAGAGAAACGCTTAAGTAAAAAGTTATTTGAAGAACACATGTTTCTGTCATGGCTGGAGCAAAAGTACTGAAAGTGTAGAGCAGAGTAAGAGGGTGGAGTAGAAGATATCAGAATGGAGTATAGGGTTGTGAGTGCGCGTATACTCCGTCGCTTACGGAATGGGTAGCCACTTAAGATGGGAACGATAGGTAGACAGATTAAGTATTTATACATGTCATAAAAGATAGAAAGAAGAATATTTAATTAACTATTGTTTCCAGTTCTTTTTGTCATATTTAGATCATTCAATTTCAATTAACATATTATCATTTATAATTATACAATATCACTCTTCTAAATTTAAAACGATATTTCCACAATTATTTCTTCTGCGGCAGCAATGCGCCATATACCAGTTAGTCTGATATATAAAAAAATATGTTTGTTTGTTTGTATTTTATGTGCTGCCATATCGTTCATCAGATTGCGCTAAAACATTTTTAGCTTATTGCAGGCACTTGCGCAGAGTTCAGGCATAGTACAATTAACTTACAGAAGGTGGCGCGCGTATCGTACCGACAAATTTATTTGAAAGTCATATATCATTCAATTTCAATGAATGTATTATCATCATTCCTAATCTATAAATACAAATAAATAAAATTGAAGTGTCTGTTTGTAATATCAAAATAACAGCTTTTTATTAAATACATATGATAATGTATATGGTACTTATAACAAAAACACAATTTTCATAAATTTTGTTAGTCTGTCTGTTTGTTCCGGCTAATCCCCGAAATGGCTGGACCGATTTTGACAGGACATTCACTGGCGGATAGCTGATGTTATAAGGAGTAACTTAGGCTACTTTTATTTTAGAAAAATAATTAGGGTTCCGCGCAAAATAATTAAAAGCCTAAATTGAATGCGGATGAAGTCGCGGGGAATAGCTAGTTAAACAATATAACCTTTCCAAATTTAAAATGATATTTCCACAATTATTATAAAATTAAATGTTTTATTGATTGGTCCCGTATGCGTTCTTATACAATATGATCACGTTAAACTGAAAATGTGTTTGTTCGTTTTCTTTGCATTCCTATAACATCGATCTGATTACGATGAATTATTGGTAGGTTGCTTATCGCGCGCTCGGAATTGCTTCTGATAATAAAGGTATTGCAACACATGCGGGGCTTAGCGATTTAAGAATAAAACTGCTGATGCGTTGTCAACATTGAGCACCAAAATAGATTGTACCATTTATTTATTTTATTTATTTATTCATAATTCAGGGAGTAGTGAATCCACAGAGAGTGTTATATATTACTATACATACTGGACCTGCAACCCATATGCAATGTTCCAGTGCCTCAACACAGGGCAATCTTGCGTTACAGATATGGAAATTAGGACCCTATTCTTTTACGTAATTCTACTTCAAAGCTGTCCACGCGTGCCTTGGCAAAAGTACCTGACGCACTGCAAGCACGTTGCAGCCCCAATAATACCCTAAATCCATTGTTGTACTGAATACGTAGTGCGTTGAGTGTTCGGCGAGTATATTTCGTGCAAATGCTGCAGGTATAGAATGTCTGACAGTATTTTTTGAATAATATTATCTTAAATTCATTCGTAAAACTAGAAAACCTGCGGAAAAGTATACTACACCTCACTGCTAAACACTACGTTCCCGTTTAAATTCTAAATCGATTTTCAGCGACCCAGTGTCCCAGATATCTGAATTTGGTGACTCTACTCAGTAGACTACCAATACATTACCACTAAAGATATCCTAACTACGAATATTTCTTTATAAATAATGACACGCTTACCCAAACTCGCATCGTAGGTGTTCATGTACTCAGATGTCATGAATTGAGAAACTAGAGCTGTTTTCCCGACGCCCGCGTCACCTAGTAACACTACTCGGTACTTTGGTATCTGAAACGAAAACTTTATAAGTATACGGTCACCTGTCCTTCTTAATAAATTGTAAAGCTAAGATGAGTTCTATAAACAGTTTAGATTCCTCAGTTTCTACATTTTTGGAGATGTCATTAAGGTACTTAGCAACGATACAAAATATTTTATTAATAAACACTGGACAAGTGATTAAATTCGTGTATGTCGACTATGAAACTTAATATAATCGACCTACTCTGAGCCATCACTACTCTATATGAAAGTTATAACTGATTGTATATTTATTGTATAATTATTGTGATTTCAAGTAATACACGTGTCACATATAGAGAGTCACAATATTAATAATTGCTTCCTTATAGATAGACAGCGGTCTTTAAAGATATTAGACGATTCATTCTCAGGGAATCATTTCTTATAAATGTTCGTTCGTGTAAGCCGATGAAAATTTGCATGTGTTTACACTCATGGGTGTCGAGCGACACTTGGTATCAGATGAGCCATATGCTCGTTTAGCTACTTTTCTACAACAGCAAAAGAAAAACCTTCATTTCATCTTTCATTGTATACATTTAGATAAATAATTTTATAATTAATAATAATATAATAGGAATTTACGCATTGAATTTGTAGGACCTTCAAACGAAAAATCTTACAATGGAATAGTAACAAAGGTAGATGATTATGTCGTCCTGTTCTAGCTAGACTATACAATAGCCTGTATGAGAAATACTAAGAGATTTAATATTACACTAACACTACCAGAATCTTTCCAATCCACAATAACTGTGGGAGAATAAAATAAATATGATGAACAGAAAAAAACAATGAAAAGCAATCAAGATACAATCATTGATATTTTTTGTATTTACAAAGTTCATTTTTCGTAGAATGTTGGGCGATGCGGATATAAGTTATCAGCTAAAACACTGCCATCGGAAAAGCGCAATACCGATGAAAGATGAGCGCATAATTTATACTATTCACACTGCTGTCATTTGAAATTATTTCCTGAATTTATGAAAATAAAGGAAGAAATTAAACTGTAATATTGCCTTAATACAAATATGTAGAAGACAACTGATGAAAAATTAAAAAAATGTATAGCTGAAACATGAACACAACAAGAAGATGATAAGAATTTGGAAACATGAACATTACACCAGTAGCACCATTAGTTCTCTCTCTCTCTCTACCAAAGGATTCCCAATTACCTACAATATAATTTACCATAATATCGAGATCATTTTACATCTAATTATAACAAGCCGATATAAGAAACAAAGTTAATGCAGATATATGAATATGATGCAACTCCATTATACACAATCTTACATATACCATAACACTTACTTAGCGCAAACCCGTAATTATTATTGTAAAAACAAGTTAAAAAGCTGAGAGTAAAGTTATTTATTATGTGGTAAAGTATACTTCGAGCTTAATAGATAATAATAGGGTGATACAATTTATAAAAAATGTATACTTGATGCGAAAAATTACCTCACCAAATTGTTCAATTTGTAATATTATCGATGATATTTATTACATTTTGATAGAATGTGCCCAGAACTCAAGAGAAAGAGCATATTTTAATTTACATTTGTCCTTAATTGGTAGTAGTAATAGTATTTTATCGGACCAGTTATCAGATGATGCCCAAAAATTTTATAAATTTGTTAGTTATAAGAGATTAAGTAACTAGTAAGTATTTATTTGTTAGTAATTTAAGATTTTTTTTGTAACTACCAGGGCGGCATAATCGCATCAGCGACAAAGCCTTTTATCTACTTATGAATAAAAAAAAATATTATTCTTTGTGGCATTTCTGAGGGAGGCCCACGTTCAGGAATATCTCGTTATGGGCTGTAGTGTTGATGTAGATGATGAAATTTTATTATTATTTGAAATCCATTCTTAAAATTTATTGCCTATGTACCTTCTCTATTAGAATTGTTATTTAGGCTTTATTATTTTTATCTCTGATGTCTCAATCAACACATAAAAGTTATTAATAGGATTATATCCTTAGTAAACAACTTAATAGAATATCAGAATATAAAAATGTAACAATTGATTGTTACAGTATTATGTGCTGTCAGGTTGTGATTAATTTAATGAATAACTTTTGACTTACATTTGAAAAATAAATGCTTATATGAATTAATTATTACTTTAAATTATATATTTATTAAAATTATTAAATTTAATATTTAATTTTGTTTTGGTCTACTGTTATACTACTAGTGATTTTGTAAAAAAATTGCTTATAATTTAATTATATTACCGGATCTAGGTCATCTTCATCTGGGGTTGTCAAACTTGCTGAATCAACAGGGCGGTACCCAGAGCAGCACGAGCCATCAAAAGGTGATCTATCAGATGCCCTGCAAACAAAAGATTTGGTTTTAAAAAAATATTAACCCTTAAGTGTTTTTGTATATATGGTATAAAATATACTCGTGGGTGTCGGAAAATCTTGTGGTCTTTACTAAAATCCAAAGTTAACATGTCTCCTATGACAATGTGCAAAGGTACATCATATCACTTTTTGTTTGCCACGTTTGGCAGACAGGCAATAAAAAAACTGGAATTGGAAATAGGGTTTTTTTTTCTAGTTGTTATCGGGATCATGCCCAATTCATGTTATGTTCCCATTTGTCGTCACTTACGAAACCAATAGAAAGGCATGGTGCAATTGATTATCATCTTACGCCGCCATTGCACGTGACCCTATTGATAAAATAATACATTCACTAGTATAATAGCCAAATACTCAAACGATAATCAGTTTTGAGACTTCGTGCAGTCTCGTTGAGTTACAGTCACTTTGAGAAGTGATAGAAACAGCACGAGAGTTAACGGCGTCTTAAAATTTAGTAGCGTCTGAGTATTTTGGCATAAGAGATTAAAGAGATGTTAATAATTAGAGGCGCCTGCTATCTACCTGCTATTGGTGGAATTGACTGAAGTGTTGGAACGGCTTCGACGATTGCAAATGGAATCGCCGCAATTAACAACTCCTCCCTTCGTGGTGATAGAGAATGTCCTTAATCTATATAGGTCATCCGACAGCCGAGGATTGTACGGCTTCTCAGGTAAGGAGCACACCCGCGGTCGTGCGTGTTCAACCACTGTGACATAAGCAAATTTTTTTTAATATAAAATTAAGGTATTTTTATTATATTATCATTTAAAATATTCTATACTTGACAGTCGTTGTAATAAAGAAGTCGGTGATAGTAATGGAAAACTATTTAATTACTTAAATATAGATTATAAATACTTAAATATTACTTAAATATAATGATAAAAATAGATTTATAATATACATATGATTACAAACAAGGAATAATAACACCTAAATGTATATGACTACATTAAAAGTGAAGTTACAGCCTAACGTAAGTCTCACACGCCTTTTTCCATTTTTTATAAGTGGGTAGTGAAACATTTATCCAGTGTTTAAACATATTACTTAAACACTGAAGTGTGGTAGCAGACTTCATATTAAACATTTTATTTATTTCCTAGACATGCAAGTTACCTCACGATGTTTTCCTTCACTGTCGAGCATATTTGTTTTTATATAATAAGGGTGACAGACGAGCACACAGCTCACCTGATGGTAAGTGGATGCGGTACTGTGGCCCATAGACATCTACATATCTACATTTATCTTCGATTAAAAATCAAAATGCAGATGCGTTGTCACCCTTAAGGACTAAGATGGAATACCTCGTTTCCAGTAAAAAGGGGTCTCCGGTTCTCTACACTCTCCATACGAAACACAGCAGTGTTAAGCTGCTATTTTACGCTGATATTCTGTGAGAACGTGGGCCTACCCCGGTCGAGCCGACCTTTTCGTGCTACAAGTATAGTATAGCTGCAGCGTGGTTCTACCACGTATTTGCATGCATGCATGTAGTAATTTGGCCATAAATTTTAAATTACATAAAAATTTCATTGGCGCAGGTGGAGATCGCCGTATGGTGGTGACGTAGGGGAATCCATCACTTCATTTCATTTCTCGGGTCTCGTAAGAGACAAGTATAGGATACACCAAGAACATCTTATAGCTTCCAATAGATGACGCAATAACGTGTTAACAGCAGGTGTAAAATACCCAGACTGGGTACAGGAAAAAAATTTAAGTCAATGCTCAACGATTAAGCCATGTCCAGCCGTGGACATTTACGGGCTGATGAAGACGATGAAGAAAGTAATGATTAAATTCTGGTCTCTAGCATATCATAAAATTGACGTTGACATTGGGTTTTTTGTTTTGGGTCACGTTGTTATCGTCGTTAAATTAGATATTTTACCGTTGCAGTTCATTTTAAGCCTGTAGTTTTAGGACTATGTTGTTTCTAACACCACAGACGAGATAATAGGATCAAAGTATATTTACATTGGTATGTGGAATAACAGTCCTCTTTGGCGTGGCTATATTTATACAATAAGCATTTGTATTAAATGATTAAATAATTAGAACATTTATATGGTTTAATTTTAATATGTCGTGAATTGGGTATTAATAAATATTATTTATACGTGGTAGGGCTACTCGGCAGCTATATCATGCTTGTAGAACGAGTAACAACCGGGAAAGAATCACGCCATAATAAAATATTCAGCGTGAAATAGCAGCTTAATCCTGCTGTATTTCTTATGGTGAGTGTAGAGAACAGGAGTTACTTTCTACTGGAAAAGAGGTATAACATCCTTTTATTTCAGATCAGTCAAAAAAATAACATCTTAGTCCTCTGAGATTACAACACATCTGTATTTCGATTATCAATCTGAAGCGTCAGTAGCCTAATGGCAGGGCGCGGACCGCGAACACGAAAGTTCGTGGGTTCGAATCCGCCATTCGACTACTGTCGTGAACCACTTCTAACACAAGCATTTTAAGCTTAGCAGAAGTGGTTAAAGGGAATATTAGTAATGTTTAATAACATTACTAGTATTTAAAAAAAAATAGATGTCGATGACTAAGCCATCTACTTGTCATCGGGTGGACTATGTGCTTATTTTATGAAAAAAAAAGTTTATTAAATAATTTCAATAATACTCGAATCTGTTGCTTATTTTGTATTTGTAGTGTGTATAGGAATTTAGAACAAGAAACAAGCAACTTTTATAGTTAAAATTAGATAATAGCACGTTGAAACAGGTGTAAGTTTCGCTGTGTTCATAATCTCTCATATATGATGTTCATCATTTTTTTTCTTCTAAAGAACGTTGTTAAAGATATGCAGTTTTTTTAATTTTAGTTGGCTTTGTATTATTTAAAAAGTTAGGTGTTGTACATATTGCTGGCTGCTCAGAAGGGTTTTTTTTTAATTTTTTACCACGTGTTTTTTACACGTATTTTTACATTATGCGAATTTGAATTATATTCGAAGTTTCAAGTTTCTAGCTCATCGGAAAGTTCCTTTAAAATCAATTACTAAATTCCACCCGGAATGACAGATATACAAGAAAGTGACTTAATCAATAAAAACATAGTAAAAACAGTTTAATAAAGCTCATAAAAATATAATTATTTTGAGAGATCTACCTAATGTTTAAAATTCGACAGACCACACTCATTTCGTATTCTTATCCTGAAATTTAAATTAGATTCGGTAAAAAAAATACAGAATATATAGTTCTGTGACATAATATAGGCTATATTTACAGAACGAAATTATAATGTTTATTTGTATGACAAGGTAACCATTAAGATGACTTTCAATAAGAATTGCTTTTAATCGATATTGAATAAAAATTATTCTATTCTATTCTATTCATCAAAAGTAAAAAAAAAATTATAAGTAAATAATATGGATTTTCGTACGACGTCAGTCACAACCACTATCTGTCCTACATCCTACAAAGCTTGTTAACCTACAACGGAAGAGGCCCATATCCAGCAATGAATTTACACACAGAATACCAGCGTAAAATAGCAGCTTAACACTGCTGTGTTTCGTATGGTGAGTGTAGAGAACCGGAGACCATTTTTACCATACCTTACCATTCCATCTTAGTCCTCACGGGTGACACCGCATCTGCATTTTGATTTGCAAATGAGGATAGATTTAGATGTCTATGGGCCACAGCAACCACTTACCATCAGGTGGACTGTGTGCTCGTTTGTCACCCTATCGTATAAAAAAAACAAGCTTCTGAAGAAGAAAACGAAGAAAACGTAAGAGTACGAAGTAAACCATGTTCAATTTCTTTTCATATTTGTTATGGTAACACGACTTCAAAAATGAGGTTTAGAGCGTAACGAACTTTTTTTAAATTTATGGTTGTAATACGGCATCTCAATTATCGATCAACTGATTAAACAAATTTTTATTTTCCGATAGAGTATACCCTCATAGTTTCATACAAATTTTAACTAGATTCGATGATAATTGAACAGACCTTTTTTTAAGTAAATACATAATATGACTTTCTATAAAATATTCTTGTGTCTGAATGTTGAAGAAAAACATTGGAATTAAAATCCAACCCGTTTCTCGTCAAATAGTACACCTTATACAGTTACTATAGCTTTTATAGAAGAATTTTTTAAAATAGAAAATTTTATTTCGACAGGGAGTAACTTTCCCGATATATTAAAAAAACTTTAAATCTGTGTTAAATCTACCTGGTAATTCCAAAAAGTTGGAAGTCCGACGCTGCCGACCACGCATCGTGTTCTGAAAATTCAGCGGCCCGATGTCCTCAACTGAATCACAATTCGACATTGTTGATTCTCTCGATCCACGTCTGCTTGCTAGGTATGCTAATCCACCTTTCATGGAACCTCTACGCATCGGCGAACATGGCCTACTGATGCTTGTAGATCGAGTGCAAGGTGTATCATCGGTTAGATCAGTCAAATCTGAAGTTGATTTTCGACAAATCCTCGAAGATGTAGTTGTAGCTTCATCATCTGCATCATGAATTATTGCTGATGGAGTACCGGGCATTGCGTCCGTTGAATCATCAGTGTGACTAGATACAATACTTGGCGATGTAACGAGGCGAGGTGAGCTGACAGTAGATGTGGAACCATACAATTTTCTCGTTCTATTTGGAGATACATAGCCTGGGTTAGTGTGAATATGTACTGGTGGTGGTTTAGGTGACCGGGATTTTTCACGTCTTCCATGCTTCAATGATGTCGAGTAATGTAGACCGTGAGGTATTCTGTCAAAGTTACATGGACTCGAGCGACCTGATGGCGACTTTTGCGGAAAATTAAAATGTCTTGGACTTATAGGACTTCTGTGGCCATGGGCGATCGGTGATTTAGGTGGAGCGTTGTGCTTATCATAGCTGCAACCAGATTGTGGTGTGAAGTATCCGGAAGATGAAGTGCTGGAAGTAATTGAAGGACTCTTTTGTGGAAAAATGAAGTGTCGAGGACTTTTAGGAGTTAAGGGTTTTGGTGACATTGGAGGATAACCGCCAGGACTGTTTAGGGCCATTATTAAAATTTCACCTTAGCGTAATAGTAGACAAGGCATCTCCCGTTTTCAATCTGAAAAGAAAAGAAAACAGATATAGTTACTCGTATTTTATTAGCTTTAGCATAAAATGGTTATTTATTTATTACGCTCTCACAGAATACTAGCGTAAAATAGCAGCTTAATGCTAATGTGTTTCGTATGGTGAGTGTAGAGAACCGGAGACCCTTTTTACTGGAAAAGAGGCATTCCATCTTAGTCCTCACGGCTGACGACGCATCTGCATTTTAATTCGCAAACGAAGACAGATGTAGATGTCTATGTGCCACAGCAACCACTTACCATCAGGTGAACTGTGTGCTCGTTTATCACCCTTATTCTATAAAAAAAAAAAACATTTATTTCCCAAACTGACAACTATTTCAACAGTTTTAATCATACAAAACAGTAATTTAAATATATATATGTCTTTTTTTTTGAAAAGTAATGTAGATTGTAAAATGATAAAAATATGCTTTTATCTTTTTGAATGAAACATTACCAGTAAAATAAAATTGACGAATATATCCAAAAGTGTACAAACGCTTTAAAATATGCTTTTGCTCTGAATAAATAAGATTTGAAAATTATAGTTGCCTTGTATAAGATATAATATATTTTATTGTTAGGGCAACCAGTCGAAGTTATTCTTAATAAAAAAAACTTTATAATATTATACCAACCAATTTTTAAAAAAAAATCTACGCAAAACTTTTACTTAAACAAATCTTTTAAAGATATACACTAAAGGCTATATATTTAAGGATAAGTAATAAATGAGAATTGTTGAACAATTTTATATAAACTAGCGATTTGTCCCGGCTTCGTACGGGTGATTTCTGGACGTCGACAACAGCGTCTACTTCCGGTCCAATTATGAATCTAAACCATTCTCGAATCAACTTAATCACACACACAAAATTTCATCAAGATCGGTCCAGCCGTTTAGGTGGAGTTTAGTCACATACACACGGACAGGAGAATTCTAAATAATAAGATGTTCGCATTTTGTTTTCATTTCGCACTGTTTAATATTTAATTTGAAACGCTGTTAACGACATAAATCTAATGATGAATTGAGGCTTAATGAATATGCAATAATACGGTTTTGAAATTGTTTTGCGGACTTGGCGGCGAATTGCTGCTCCTGTACCATCGTTTAAATAATTGTTGGAAGCGGATTTCGATGCGTTAAGTTGGTGCAATTTTGTTAAGTAAACTAGGAGTAGAAACGATAAAACACGGGCTCTGACGGTGATATAAAACTCAATGTATTTTTTAAAACTTAAGCGCTGCGCGATGCGAAGAGCGCGATGACGATAGTATCTCAAGTCTCAAGCACTTAGATACTATCATCATCGACTCAATGTTTTAATTTTAGTAAATTAATGTTAATAAATTGTGTTTAAAACATTAAAGTTAAAAGTTACATCCTATATACGCCTCACTGCTGGGCCTAGGCAGCCTCTCATTTTTAAGAGGGTTTTAGATCAAGGAAACGTCCGCCGCGCTGCCCCAATTCGTGTTGGCAAACTTCACATGTCTTCGAAATACTTTTTTTTCTTATTTCTCAGACGTGCTGGTTTCCTCACGATGTTTCCCTCTACCGTTGAGCACGTGGTAAATCAGTACTTAAGATTGCTATTAACAATTTTATTGGTGCCGGAGGGAATCGAACCCGGGTTGCTCGCGTACGGTGAAATTTACAGCGAGCGCTAACCATCTGGGCTACCACAGCTAAAACGGAATCGAAATAAAATTATATTTTAAACGTAATTTCAATAGTCTTTCGTATCCAAATATTTTTTTCGGCTATGTGTTAATTTAACGTTTGCATACGCAACACGTTCCAAGAAATTATTAATTATAGTAGTATAAATGAATACATTGGTTGTTGTTTTCATCAGATTCCAGATCAATTTTTGATATTTAATGGTAATGTTGTTCTGAGTTAGTGAGTAGGATCGTGTTAGGTATTAATCGCTTGAATAGGTTAAATGTCGTCGTATCGTTAAACGTCGTAGAGCCGTTGGACGTTGCTCGTCGGTCGGATAAGGACCACGCTCTCACAGAATACCAGCGTATGCTGCTGTGTTTCGGTGTTCCGTATGGTGAGAGTACTTGGTGAAAGAGAACCAGAGACCACTTTTTACTGGTAACGACGCATTCTATCATAGCCCTTAGGTATGACAACGCATTTATATTTTGATTTCACCACGGCTTCAACTTACCATCAGTTTACTTATTCTATCAAAATATGAGTGACAACTCTTATTGCACGCTTCATAACGTGAAACGTAGATGTGTTCTACTCTCGACACGTCAAGGTCAATCAATTTTGTGTTGTTAAAATAAATAAAAAATAAAAAAAATAATAAAATATCTTTATTTCAGGCAACACAGGACCCATACAAGAATGTTAGTAACAGTGAAATGAAATAAAACTTAAATTATAGTGTTAGTAATTAAATTAATTTACATAAATAATGATGTCTTAGTATTAAAAACTTCTAGAGTTCTAACTTTATTTGAATATTATAACAATAAATTTTAAGTGATTTACAAATGCGAGTTTCATAGCTGACACTTTTAACAATGTTAAACTATAAAGTGAATACTGGAGAGTACACGAGTCGTAAAGGGCAAATTCGAAAGAGTAATAATAAATAGTGACGTCATATTTATCGTAGGCAATGTGCTGAGTAACTACGACCACTACAGAGAACTAAGCCCCAGAAAGTCCGGCAATTAAAAAAAATGACAACAAAACATAATAAAAGAAACAAGGCATTCTTATAGTTATGGCTGCTGGAATAAGTGAAGTCTGCAAAATTCCCTATTCTTACCAGAAGTTATCGAGTAGCTCATACCACTTACGTACCGTTTGTTCGCTCGCTTCAAAACGGGATTATGATACTTGGAGAAAAACTACTATTTACAGATGAGTCTCGATTTTATCTTTAGCTAGATGGTAAAAGGGTCGATGGATAAAAACGACTCGGAGAAAAATACGCTCAGTGTAATATTGTTGAAAGAAAACCTTTTATATCATAGATTTTTATTTGAGAATGTTCGGAGTTATATACATATCATGGAAAACTGATCCCTATAGTTACCAATAGCAACATGTTACAATTGATAACGGATAATGGTATAACTTTTGGACTATATATGGAAGATAAATTTAGTTTAATCCAAGGTAACTAAGCTAGCTGTACCGATAGTTTTTTTTTTCTATTTTGTTTAAATATTAGAATGAGCTACTGGCTGGTGATAAATACACTTATTGAAGGTAAATGGCACCCTAAGTTGGCACAACTAAGTTATAACGAAAAAAGTTACAGATGCTGCTGTGTTTGAGGCTCCATCTTACTCCTCAGACGTGACAATGCATCTGTAATTTAATTTCCAATTGAAGATAAATGTATATGTCTATAGGTCACAGCATCCACTTTCCACCAGGTGGACTGTGTGCTAGTTTGTCATTCTTATTCTATAAAAAACTAACGGACTGCAATTGATTTTTATATATAGAGATTACATTATCGTATATTTTTTTTATAGAATAAGGGTGACAAACGAGCACACAGTCCACCTAACAGTAAGTGGATGCTGTGGCCCATAGATATCTACATTAATCTCGATTAAGAATCAAAATGCAAATGCGTTGTCAGTCGTGAGGACTAGGATAGAATACCTCTTCTTTTCCAGTAAAATAGGTCTCCGGTTCTCTACACCCACCATACGAAGCACAGCAGCATTAAGCTGCTATTTTACGCTGGTATTCTGTGAGAGCGTGGTCCTTCCCTGGTCGAGCCGACCCATTCGTGCTATAACTATACTATTAACGGCTCTACCACGTAAAATTAATGAAATTATAAATTAAAATTAAAAAAAATTTTGTACAGCAGACTTCAATATAAGTTATTAAGAATAACTCAAATAACTCAAAAACTTTTGGTCGGACCTTGATCAAATTCATTAAAAAAAGAATCATCGAAATCGGTTCACCCAGTAAAAAGTTATGAAGTAACACACATAAAAAAAACATACGCGTCGAATTGAGTACCGTCTCCTTTTTGGAAGTCGGCAGAAAAATTATATGATATTAAAGGTAATTAATAGAATCAGGCGTTTGCGGAGATCCATTAATTGGATTGTTAATGATATTAAATTTCTACCGCCTAATAATTAACTAACAGTGGTAGATACACGCGGCAGCTTTTGCTGTCGCACGGATGGGCCGGCTCGAACCGGGGTGGTACCACGACCTCACAGAAAACCAGCGTGAAGTAGAGGTTTACCTCTGCGTTTCGCTTGGTGAGTGCAGGTGGCCGGAGGCCCTTTTTACTGGAAATGAGGCATTCCATCTTAGTCCTCACGGGTGACAACGCATCTACATTTTGATTTGTAATAGAGGATAGATGTAGATGTCTATGGGCCGCAGCAACCACTTACCATCAGGTGGACTGTGTGCTCGTTTGTCACCCTTATCCTATAAAAAAAAATAATAATAACAGTACTTGCACTATTGTGTACCGGTCTGAATGTTACAGAGAGCCAGTATAATTATTCTGAGGCATTCCATCTCAGTGTTCAGAGATGACAACGCACTGTAACCTTCTTTGTTTGTAGTTACGAAAACACACACACCATAATTATTGCTACCCTCTCTTTGGGTTTTTGTTTTGATACACATTTCTATCAATATTTAGTCATGATTTCTTATATTTACGCGAACACTACACATTGAATAAAACTGCTTTTGCGGATTTTATTGCGTTAAATTTACCTAATTTTCTTATTTTTATTAATTCCCGACGTATTGGGTGCTTTCCAGCACCCATGGTCACGGGGGACTGAGGTGATTGACGTTCCGATGTCAGAGTTAACCCGGAGTACCTTCTGCTTTTATAATTCTTAATTTTTTTAAAAAGCTGAAGGTACTCCGGGTTAACTCTGACATCGGGACGTCAATCACC